CAAATGGCATCTATCATAAAAGTAAGGCTAACTCTATCCAGCTGAGTAGGAGTCCACTACCTTCTATATGCCATTGGATAACATCAAGAAAAACAAGTAATTCTCTGTACCATCTGATAAGCAAGCAGAAAAGTAACTCAAAACTCTCCATCTTCAGCAGAACATTGGCACAAGTGCCACATTCTCACCCTTTCTTTTTGTTTTTAAGCACTGCAAGTCAGCAAGCAGTGTGAAGTTGTTACTCGTGTATCCTTCATCCAGTACCAAACACAGAAGAAAAGGACACAACCTTCATTTTTCTGTGCACAAGTCATGCTCAATACTCATGCAGACCTGGAGCAACAAATTGTATTTGCTGCAGCCTTGATTGCTTAATGCTACGCACTTGTATAGCTGCACTTTCCATTTAGATTCCTCGTGCACTTTACAGACCTTAATAAACCTTGTGGACTGTTCATAAGACTACTAAACCACTGGGATTAGATATAGTAAGGGATTAGGTATAATCTAAGCACCTAAATTCAGTGCAATAATGAATATGAAAAAGGGCAACACAAAAATACTCTGAATTGCTCTGTCCAATAAGCTCCATTGGCAACCTCACTTTTTTGCCTGATTCCATCTCTGTGGCTTCATGGATGCATTTCACTCAACTCATTAGTTCTCCGATGCACGTATAGGACGACAAAAGACAAAACACAGACATTTTATTATTTCTCACAATCACATTTTCCTACTGTTTAGTGAGTGTTACTGACTTGTGAAACTCACTGCTGCAGGAAATTGTGGAGATCAAAAGTATAAATGGGCTCAGAAACGATCTGAACAAATTAACAGAGAGGTTTATTGTCCACTCCGACTACTGTAGTCTAGTCACCGCCTAGCACTCAGCAAGTCCCCATGCCAGTATTTGTTATCAGGAAGGGCTAACATTTTTGCTTCATTTCTTAGCCCTCACTGCTGGCCACTGACAATGACAGAGCCGTAGGCTAGAGATGGACACTTGCTACGAGTCAGTCTGGCTGTTCTTACTCTTCAGTTGCCCTCAGTAGAGGATTTGCAATAGAATATTACAAATAATATTACACTGTATTTCATCCCAAACAGTGACACTGGACCTGAGCAAAATGCCTAAATGTATGTGAAATTCCTCCATTTTTTTTCAAATGGACCTCAGATCAAATTCAAATGTGACTACTTGCACATATAAGAGAACCTCAGGAATCCCTGATGAGATCCCTACTGATGTGATCTCTCAAGCCTTGCATCTTCGACAATCTTATTGTAAGTCATCACCTTCATCCTGCCTGAAAAGTTAACCTTTTAGCAGACATTCATTCATACTTACATAGACAAAACCTTCACCTCAATGATGTCCTGCCGCAATTCCAGGCATTTGGTAGAGTTGTATTCCAAAGGCCCTTCATAAAACTCAAAATACCTGAAGAAGGACAAGAAAAAAGATTATAAGGAAGCCTTAGACTGGAACACTTGTCTTACACATCAATAGAAATTTGCTTAAAGTTCTCATTTATCATTTCTGCCTAACTTGAGACTACACTATCTGGTTCATAGGCAGGTTATTGCTTTCCAGGAAAACATGGATGTCATTGCTGATTGTAGAACAGCCACTCATGTCCAGGTTGTCCATCTCTACAGGAGTTGGACATCTGTCTTGAAGGCACCAACAAGGACCAGCTACCTTTTCCAGCAGTCAGCACACGGCAGCTGCCACTGAAAGTCAGGGAAGAAGCATTGATCACAAAAGGAACTTTGTTCCCATCCTTTGGGTGTCTGAATATGCTGAGAGTGTAAAAATCAGTTCCTCAAATTTTGCCCTTAGGGGGAAAGTGAAGGGCTGGAGGTTGTATCTTGTCTGTGGAGGTCACTGTTGCATAACTCTATGCAATTGAGCCTTTTGTCGGGATTTACTCTTTTGGTATATTTGGAGAAGGGAAGTTGAGATTTTTTTTTCTCAAAAAAAAATTGAGATAGTTTTGACAACAAAAGGATTTGAATGCATAGACACAGCACAAGTGACAGTACAATTCTTAATTAAAACATAGACATAAATATTTACTTTTTTGGTTAAATTCCTCCACCTTAGCCACCAGACTGGAGAGAAGGGAAAACAAAACACAATGTTAGCTACTCATGTTTAGGGGCCAGAGAAAGCCCAGGCTGTCCAGTGAATTTGATGAGACTATATCGAAATGACAAAAAGGATTTTTGCCATCCAGAGGGACCTTGACAGGCTGGAGAGGTGGGCCTGTGAGAACCTCGTGAAGTTCAACAAGGCCAAGTGCAAGGTCCTGCACGTGGGTCAGAGAAATTCCAAGCACAAATACAGGCTGGGCGGAG